GCTGATATTTATGTGCGGTGACAAATGGTTGACTAATACTTATCCTGAGACTGCCACATTTTCGCTCGTTTTCGGGAAAATAAAAACACTTGTTGTTTGCATTATCGTATTTTCACTTAAATCATACTATTTTCAATGATACTCGCGTATTTTAGTTTTGCTAGTCTATATTTTAAAATCGTAATTCTGAAATTTCCGAACTGTCTGAAAGGCCGTCTGGAAAGACAGGACTCGTCCAAATTGTTTTTAGATCGCTGTATTTTCGCTCCATTTCTCAAAAATAAAACATCTATTGTTCCAATTTTTTGCGATTTTTACTTGAGTCCTGCAGTTTTCGAAGTAATTAGGGTATTTTATTTTGATGACTTGCTATACAAAAGTCGAAATTACGAATTTTCTAAACTGTTTGAAACCGTGAAAGTCAGCAGCTTACACCTGTTTTAGATCGCTGTATTTTTGCCCGAATTCTCAAAATAAAAACATCTGTTGTTCAAATTATTGCGTTAATAAATAATTTGGGTATTTTAATTTGATTACTTGCCTTAAAAAAAGTCCAAATTCCGAATTTTCTAAACTATTTGGAGATGTGTGATACGAAGTGGAAAACTCATTAACATACAATTAGCATATTCATGACCGTCGCTTCAGTAGTCACGCAGGGAAACTCACGCGTTTTGCGCGATTTCACGAGTGCTGCCGACAGTACAAATAAACGGCTGATCTGCACTGGCTCGGAAGATGAATTCTGATTGGCTAAAAAAACAAAAAAACTTGTGGCGTTGAATGCACGTTCATTGTCAGTATTGTTATGCAAATTCAAACTAGCTAATCATTTACAACCTTCCGAGCCAGTGCAGATTAGCCCCAAATAAACAGATGGTTGTTTATTCGTTAATAGGATTGCGAGATAATTTGGAGGATTATAACCCAGGTTAAAATAAAAGAAATTACGTAGTTGCCTGCCGCTCTCTTTCTAAGGTCTATGATTTAACCCATCCAGGGGGAAAATATTTCCTGGAGACTCAAGTTAACACATTAAAATAGCTTATAATATGATTATCAAAAAAATATGTTCATTATAAACTGAAATAATCTGACAAAAATATCTGTCCTGACGTTACACCCATATCTATTTATCTATACAATATTGATAATTCTAGCTTAGCCAGCATTAATTTCTATTATATCCAGCTTGTTGTAAAAAATATAAAGGAAAAAATATGGTATTCTTTAACAGCATCCTCAGTTATATTATACAGGTCCTCTAATAAAACCCAATTTGTTTTATAATAATTGTAAATGGTTGCAGTGTTATTCCATACTAAATAAACATGGTTCTGAATGTCCATATGATTTGTGTGACAGATTAGGCACAAAACTGAGTTGAGATTTGTGTCCACAAAATATAAATACCTGTACATCCACAATTATGAGCAGCTAATTTAAGGGGCCAGTGAAAATTGTATTTTATTTTCATATTTAATGACTGTATATTGTATAGTATAGTGTGGTGTGGTATGGTGTAGTGTAGTGTGGTGTAGTGTAGTGTAGTGTAGTGTAGTGTAGTGTAAAATGCAGAGTTTCATGCTGTACCACTTACAGGTTTTAAGATTCTGTCTTAAATATCACATTCTCCTTAACACGGACAGTAACACTCGACTCGTACAAGCTGAATAGATCAATGTTGTATGAACAAATGATGGGCAGAAAACAGCAAATGTTACAGAAACTGTCCTTTTAATACAAAAAACATGATGTATAATTGGGAAGCAAAAGTATGAATTGACTAAATGAGCTCTGTTACCACATGACATACATACTGATGCAGCAGTCAGCTGGTCTGCTAGTAGTGGTATGATAAATGCAAAAGATGTATACTATCAGGGAATGGCCATTTTGAATCCTTTGTTAAGTTTGATAAAGAGTCAAGATAGTGGTCCCATATAGTAAATATTGGTAAATTAGTTGCATTTACCGGTATTACAAAACAACCTGGAGCCAGTTGACTGCGGTTACAGAGAAGAATTACACCACAGGGCTTTAATATTAGCTGGGTGTTATTTTTTGCTTATTTCGCTAATTGCTACATGTGCTAACGTAAAACCCAGTGAATATTCAAATTTAACAATAAAATGTATTGTTTTTGTCACAAAACAGTGAATTTATAACCTAGTGAATACCGGTATATCAAATCTGCTAAAATTGAACCCAGGGAATATTTCTTCTCCTACAATATTCTGGAAACTGAACTTAAGAAAACATGGCAACATTTCATAACTTTGTGTCAGTTTAAAAGAGTTCAGTAGGATAGCATAGAAAAACAAAAAATGAAAGTATTTTCCTTACATCTTATGGTATTTAATATAACAATTCTTATCCTTGAGAGGATTTGAAAGATCAAGAAATGGTTTTAATTATCAATATAACATTACTAAGATCCAATAGTGTGAATTGAAACTAGCGAGATACCATACCTAGCCCCCTCATCGATTTAAGTCAAATATTCATATGTGGCATAAGTAAATGTATAAAACTGTGTAAAGTCAGACCTCACAGTAACATATGAAATTGAAAAAAAACAAAAGATGAAAAACTTTTATTTCAAATTAACAGTACTTTCAAATGAAACTTTTAGATTCTGACATGACATGACAGGATTTATTCCCGTGTTAGTTGTATCAGGGAAATTCTCTCACAGCATCTACATCATATGTTAGCAGATTACAACCAGTACTTGGAATCATACTACAGCATCACACAGCTCTCCCATTCTGGAAATTGTTTTGGAGAAAATGTTGGAAGAAGATGACCTAATTATAAATTACCATTATTGCATAGTTTGAAATGAATTAAGCATACAACCACTTCAAATTTAATAATTTATTTTTTGATTATCGGTCACAATAATCAAATAATCAACTATTTGTCACCTCAACCAGCATAATATACATGTAAAACAAACCCAACATTATTCAAATAACAATTTGAATTGGCTTTCGTTCAAAAAGTCAGTTATTTGTTTTTTTATATTCACTGAGGTTCTTGATTTTCACAGGTTTGATTGTGAAAATCTGACCATTTGAGTGAGTTTTTTTTTAATTATTGTTAAAATCTGGCCACTTGAGGGCGTTTTTTTCTTCATGTCACATGATAGTGAAAATCTGACCATTTGAGGTTTTTCTTCATGTCACATGATTGTGAAAATCTGACCATTTGAGAGCGTTTTTTCTTCATGATTGTGAAAATCTGACCATTTGAGGGCAGTTTTTCTTAAAACACATGATTGTGATTTAGAAAAATTAGGATAGTATCAATTCACTATTTTTTAGAAATGAACACAAGCAGAACATCCTTGAAATCAATATCATTTTCGTCTTCTTAACGAATTACAAACAGAAATAAATTGTTTTTGTAGGAAGTGTTACAAACACACAATATTATATATTAGCTACATATTGTTCTTAAAAGCACCGATATGCATGGAAATTGACGCATGGTCATCAGGTACCATCCTTTTTGCGAGGAATTGAAAACGTTATCCGTGGATGTCTGTTCACCATTGGATTCTCTAGATAAATCAGCAGCGTACAGTTAATCAGGTCGAAGAGTGCTGGCAAGGGAAAGACAAGAAGTATTTTAAGATTATGTACATAATGCAGTTGCTTTATAATACTTGTTCTCAGGTTGATCTAATATTCAGAACAAAGTAGTCACTCAATGTGACCCATTAAAATTGTAGTCATGGAGACATGTTGTCATGGCAGGAATTGTACCTGCCTGCCAATAGATTGCAGATATTACACAGTCTATTGAATTACTATATCATGACACTGCATGTTTATCTATATGTGGGCGAGGAATATTTTTGAAACTCCAAAGATTGGATCATGATAGTAAGATGTATTGAAACCCTTGGGATCTAAGATGTCAATCAATCCACGTTTGACTTTATTTTGGCGTAAATTTGTCTTTTCAGTTCACTTTGGTGCTAGCAGTGTTGAGTCTGATGATGTGCTCAAATGATGTGCATTGAAATCACCCATAGTAAATATCGGTACTCCCATCATCAGATATCAATTAAGTTATCAGGAAGGAACTCTGGCTACAATGACTGAACTTTTAATTACTAAAGGAAACTTGTGGTGGGTAAAATCAATACTTTACCCCCTTCACCCGTTTGTGATTGTTAATGTTTATGTAACTGGAAATAATAGTCATCCTTGATATCCAGTATTCAAATCAAAATGATATTACGGTAATCCCGGTTAACTGCGCCTTCTGTGTCAAAAATAACTTGTGCTTTCATTTAAATCATAGTTACTGTATGGTTCAGTACAGTATATAGAGCACCCTCATCAACAAAGTATACAAGCTGTTGTTTAAGGACTGCTGCAACTCAATTGGAGATAGTTGGCTCTATGAATCTAATGTCATCAAACTGTAGTTCCATGAAGCAGGGATCAAGAATACAGATACCTGAACTTTTGCTTATCTTTTTATAACTCTGTATTATTGATATTGTGTCATTACCTGCCCTTTTTCAATTGTATAACCGTATAGGCAAAGGTGGTAAAGTGCATTAAGAGATGACATGTTGCTAGGTGATTAGATGCCCAATGTGAGCATCTGTTCTAATCATCCATCTTGTTGTGTAGTTGATGTTTGTGTTCTTGAGCATTTTGAGGCAATGGTTACTTTTACATATCACACTATACTACAACAGTTTGTGTTGAAAAAAAAAAAAAATAAACTGACCGGTTGAAATTGTGGAGCATCCATCTTTCCCTGAATATGATTTGTAAATACGAAAATCGGTACCATCTTCATCACCAAGGATATTGAGAACACCTTCTATATCTGTAGGGACTGGTAAATTTGACACCCTCTCAGTGCCAGCCATTGAGCTTTGGTCTGCTTTATGTTTCAACTTGACATGTTTGTACCTGATAAATGATAGTGTTCATATTTTCATAATAGAACAGTATGCCAGGATATCAAGCAAATATTACGTTTGTTGCACCAAATGAGTGAATACAAGGTCATATGTAATGTTAAGACATGTATATATGTATGTAT